GGGCTAGGAGTCCAGTGGCTGTGGGGAACCGCAAAGGGCTACTTACCAATCCCAGCATGCACTGAGACTCCTGCACAGCGCCGCAGCAGCCCAGGAAGCCGACCAGCATCATGAGGGCCCCGGCCCCGATCAGAATGTAGACCCCTGCAGGAGCACAGCAGGGAGGAGGCTCGCGTGGGGACCACCAGGGCCCGGGCAGCTGCTGCAACTCCTTTTCTCTGCACGACTCCGCCTTCCCCATTCTTACCGCCCCCATCTCAGAAAGAAGTTCCCTTCCTTAAACAATGGGGTGGGGGCTAACAGTGGCACAGCAGTACATGTGGTGCTCTGCGAGGCCGGCCAACATGAGAGGGTTTCCGGTTCAAGTCCGGAGAGCTCCTCAAGTATGAGGCACATGTGTGCCATGGCCCAGGGCTGGTTGTGGGGTGGAGGGGATTGGGGCACGAGGACCCCATTAGCACTCTCTTTCTCTCGTGGGAAAGAAAGAAATGAAAGCAAAACAAAACAGAACCCCAAATCTGCCCGCTCTGCCCCTGCTCCCATCTACTTTCCACCTGCCCGTCTTCAGGCCTGCCTTGTCAGGCCTCCTCTCCTGATCATCAGCCAAGCCCTTGTCTAGGACAGGAACATCAGTGGGAACCCCCAGGACGGCTCCAGCCTGCAAGCTGTTTCCAGAGAGATGGATCCACTCAAGCTAGTTAACGTGGACCCCTAAACCCAGGCCAACTTTCTGGGACTCTGTGAGCCTGGCAGGGTGCCCTCACAGAGGATGCTATCAGAGCTTCCAGCAGCGAGAGGCTGTGCATACCGGACATGCCGGCCCCAGGACAACCACCTCTGCCTGATGCCCAGGAGAGATGCCTCCGGGCCACTGCCGGGTCACACCTGTGGTTAGCGACGCCCCAGGGCACTTGCTGGCAGCGGCCCGAGCACCACGTTCTAATGCAAAGGACACAGACCCGGGGTCAGAAGACCCTTGTGCTGGTCCCAACACTGCTACTGGTGAGGCCTCTCTGGATCTCAATTTCCCTATAGGTAAGGTTAAAGAGGGTGGCTGCTAGAAAATTCCAAAAGATCCTTTTAGCCTACAAGAGACCCGATAGTCATAAGAGCTAAAAGTGAAAGAGCGGGAGTCTATGACATGTGCCCCCAACACACAGCAGCATCCATGAGGAGAACTCTCGGCAGGTGGCAAGTGACTTCACTGTCCCCCCTCTGCACCCTCAGGAGGGCTGAGGCTTTGCAGCCAACAAGCCATGCTCTGGGCCCGCAGCTGAGCTCTGGGTAGCACAGACAGAGCACACACAGGAGCGTTTGTGCCTCCCCGTCCCCACATCTGTCGTGATGTCAGGTCACGTGGCCCTCCTGGCAGAGCCCACGCGGCATGAATACGGGCATTGTTCCCGTGCACGCCCAGCCCAGACTGGGCAAGGGGACAGATGCATCTTGTCCTCGAGTCCAGTCCCAACCTCCTAGGCGGTCAGATACTGTGTCCGCAGGCTGGCCTCGGGAGGCAGGGTGGCCCCATGCATGGGCACTGGGGAAGAGGGGCCGCCTCGCTTAGTCCTCTGCTCTAACATGGGGCCACCAGCAGGCCGAGGCAGAAGATGGCTCCGGTGTCTCCCCACCTCCCTAGGACAAGACAACGAAGGATGAGGCCACTCCTTTGAGCACCAGGGCAGGGGCTCAGCAAATAGCAGGCATGAAGAGGTCAAAAGGATTTACGAGCACACGGAATAGGGCCGAGTGGGATTGAACAGACAGGCGTGTTTTCGTCAAGTCCAGATCCCAGTTCATAGGCCCAGCGACCCAGGCAGAAGCCCGGGGAGTCAGGGCAGCAGCAAGCAAGCTGTTCCTGGAAAAAGCATTTCCCCAGCAGAAAGGGCACACATTCTCATAGTGGGCCCCTTGGTTAATATTAAACATTCATCCGAGAGTTCGGCAGAGGCTCATTTAACGACAGAGGGTCACTGGCTTTCAATCTTGCTCCGACAGCTGCCTATCTGCTCCAGCTGGGGTGAGACCCCCCTCTACCTCCCTCGCAGCAGTCTGTGGGGATCTTAGCAGAGCCACCAGGCTACACAGCAGCTCCAGGGGCCCCCTGGAAGTCTGGAATCCCAGCAGGGCTCAGGCTGTGTTTTTAAAGAGCCAGCAGAACTTCTCTTTGGGAAGGCGACTCACCCTCACAGTCCACGCCCCAAGCTTGTTAGCAAAGGCTGCTGCTGATAAATGACAAAGTGTTCCCCTTTATAAAACGAGTGAATGTTAGCTTTCTGTCTGGCTCATGGAAAAAGTGATTGGTCACAGGGCCTCCCCTAGGATTACCGTGTTCATTTGCTCAAGGGCTGTTTATTCTGCCCTTTCTCAGGCTGACACGCATGCTAGCGTGTCCGGTCCAAGCAACGAGGCGTTCTCCTCCACCTGTCGGTCAGGGCTCTGGGCTTAGGCAGGGAGAGGACGCCTCATCTGTCACCACCCCAGCCCCATTTTCCAAACAGCACCCGTGGACAGCAGAATCAGGCAGTCTCTGGCCTCCACTTGCTCCTAACTGTTTATAACTTCCAAGTCGCTCCGCCAGGAGTTCCCAGGACCTAACTTCCCCCACAACGGCCCTCTTGGTTCTTCTCCCCCCCATGGATGGCTGTGCTCACAGGTAACAGGATGGTGGAATTCCACGAGCCTCAGAGAAGTGCTGCAGGTCAGCTGTGCATACGGGATGGGGAAAATGAGGCTCAGGGGGACAAACTGCCCCCAGCCACAAGCCAGAGTGAAAATGCTGGCTTGCTGAGGCCAAGTGCCGGGGGTCCTGAAAGTCACCAGGTACCTGGTCATGATTCGGGAGAGCAGCTACGAGGCACGGACACTCATGGCTCTGCGGGGAGCCCCTAGAGGCCATCGTTCCGTGGCTGTGGTGCTGGAAGGACAGCAAGGAGTTAAGAAGAGCCGGTGGCCTGGGACCAAGAAAACCAAGTTCCCCAACATGTTTGCAGCCTGGGATTACAAACACTGTGATGGGTGAGTCTCCCAGGGCCACGGATTGGAGAGAAGGCCCATATAAGGTTGTCGGCTGCTCTGGACTCACGAGCAACTGTTGTGGATGCTGGAAAGTTCTTTCCTCGCTTGCTTCTTGGCCTGGTTATGCAGTCTGTAAGCTGTAAGAGACCCTAGTGGAGCAAAGGCACCCTGGCTCCTTTCTTGAAGAGTCAGCCGCATGGCCGGGCGGGACTGTGGGAGGCCCTGGACCGTGCAAGTGCCCCCATCACGGGGCAGCCACCCCATGGTGTCAGAGGAGCAGCAGCCAGTGTGTGGCTGGCATGCTAAGCTCATCCACCGGGTCTCGGGGCCAGCAGATGGTGTAACGGTTACATCGCTGGACTCCCACATAGTTGACCATGGTTTGAGTCCTGGACCCGGGAGCTTAAACTCACGCCGGGCGCATGTGCGTGCCTAAGATCCTGAGAGGAGAACGGAGGAGAAGGGACTGCAGCATGGTCATCCCCCCTGGAGGTGATTTCTCGCTTTCTGTCTGCCTCTCTCTCTCTCTCTGTCTTTCTGGTGAGTGCACATGCCCTATAGCAAAAAAACTCTCTCTCTAAAAAAAATAAAATAAAATAAAATAAAAAAGGGCAGGTCTCAGCGCAGTAGGGCAGTAAGTCTCCCTGACTCTCTGCCCGCGGACGACAATTATTCACCTTCCCAAAATGGGCAGTGACAATGTGGGGCCAGCCGGACCCAGCGGCTGCTCAGCATGCCGGTGTTCCAGGGTCCTCGCGCCACCCTGTGCTCTGGGTGTCTGTGAGCACGCCCATGCCTGCATAGCGAGCTCTTTCCCCAGAAGGGGTCCAGCTGCAAGGACCCACGTTCCTCTGGTCCAGTCGCTCTCCTGGGCACTTTGAACTGCCTGGGGGCCTGTAGTGACCTGCAGATCTGAGTCCTGTGAGGTTCCAAGAGGCAGGCACCGACTCCTCCAGCCGCAGGCTCACCGCTCTCCCGCCACTTCGCATGGCTTCCCACTCGCCACCTGCTGGCGAGAGCCCTGACAGGGCTTCTGTCCCCGACTGCAATCTGAGTGAGGTCAGAGGCTGAGAGCACCGCCAGGCCCTCTGGCAGGGACTGTTCGGCCAGCGTGGACCTTCTCTCCTCCCACAGCCCAGCGTGTACAACGCAGGAAGCAGCGTTCGCAGGCTGGGCTCTAAACGGGGATGCGCCTGCGGATGGTATTTACCCTCTCCGGGCCTCAGTTCTTCCCTCCGTGAAACGGGAATCCACGCTCCTTGCGGAGGCACAAAGATGGAATTGTACAACGGTGCAGACAACGAGCACATCCAAAGAACAGGTTCGACATGAATGGCGCCTCCTTCCTGGTGCCACCTACTTAGCAAAGAGCGCCTTCCCCACGCCTAAGCACACAGCCTCGGGTCGCTAACCACAGGCTATGTCCCGACAGGTGCGGCGTCACTGTCGTCTGAGCATCACTGAGCGCCGGCACGAACTTGCCACAGGCCCAGGGGCACGGGAGCATCCTGGGGGACTACCCGATACGTGGCCCACCCTTGGCAGGAAAGCCGGCGTGCACCGATTGTGTGCAAACTTAGCCAGAGTTCCAGAGAGCAAAAAGAAAAACCGGGGTTGTGTTAGGAAAGGGCAGAGCAATGGGAGGACTGAGTGTGCATTCTGGGAGACGCACCAGGAGGCCATGGGGCTCTTGCTTGGGAAACTTAGCCACAAACAGGGCTTGCTCCTGTGGGCAGGGCATGGAGGGGAAAGGGTCTCCCTTGGGCAGCCTGCCCTCCTACATCCTCCCCGTTGGGCCCCCACTCCTCCTGCTCTGCAGGGTGGCATTCCAAGCCTGCCACTGACTCACAAAAATGCTCCGTTGCTAAAACAAGTCAGGGTGCTATGGAAACTCGTTCCCTAAAAGCTCGGTGTGGAGTGTGTGTGTGCGTGCGTGTGCATGTGTGTGTGTGTGTTTAGTTCTTAAAAACAACATACCTTGTGCTTTTCTTTCCCTCACTCCTTTCTGACAATAGGGAGAAGCGTACTAAAAAGCCAGCTAACAAAAACAAAAGGCACTGAGAACAAGAAACTACACGCAGGGTTAGAGTTAGGGACCCGGCTCTACACAAGTGAAGGGGCTGGTTTCAAAGCCCCTCTCCTGGCCTTCCTTCCCGGTGCCAGCCTGGCCTGGGGCAGGCCAGGGGTACGGCGGGGGAGGCCGGGAAAGTGGGGATGGGCTGCCTTCTCCCTGAAGGCCCCGGAGATAACCCTCAGCAGTCAGGCTGGTTTCTCTGACTTTTGCAAAAATAACTTTTTGGTGGCTGGAAAGGAAATGACCAAACTTACACACTGAGCCTGATGACATGACAGCGCCATCCTAAAAATAGGGGGCTGCTTTTGTTTCTCGCAAATGAAATGTCTCCTCCTCCCAACCTAAGCAGAAAGTAGGGCCACTCGGAGTTTACCCAGAAACCGGGAAACTGCACGTCCAGGCCTCAGTCTTCCACCGGTCTGAGAGAAGCTTGTCCTTGGCGGGGGGGAGAGAAGGTACTAGAAAAGACCCACGGAGTCTCTCCCTCCGGTCTGAGAGAAGCCTGTCCTTGGGTGGGGGGAGAGAAAGTACTAGAAAAGACCCACGGAGTCTGGGGTGGCCAGGGACCTGCCTAGTCCATTCCTGTGCAGAGGCTTCTGGAACATTTAAATTGGAAATCTCTCCCCTTGAGCAAACGCAGTGTGGAAAACATGTAAGAAGGAATCACATGGGGCCAGCAGGCTGCACTCTCACATGCAGTTCAAGTCCTGGATCCGGTGGCTCGAAACTCATGCAGGGTGTGTGTGTGTGCCCAAGATCCCGGGAGGAACATGGACTGTGGCCTGGCCATCCCCCCGGGGGGTGATTTCTTACTTTCCCTCTCAAGGTCTATCTCTCTCTCTCTCTCCCCCCCCAGTGAGTGCACATGCTCTAAGGCAAAAACCTCGGGGGAAAAAAAAAGAAAAAAGGAAAGAAAACACAAGGGGTGCCAGAAGTGGCCCAGTGGTAATGAGGTACGTCCGTGCTGGACGAGATGAGAGGTCCCGACGCCCCCAGGGCACACAAGGGTGTGTGTGCAGGATCTGGGCCAGCCGACACTGGGGGAGACGACAGTGTAAAGACCTGCTGGGGGGAACCAGCAGTTAGCGTAATGGCTATGTCGCTGGACTCCCACGTAGTCGACCGCGGTTCGTGTCCCGGACCCGGTGGCTTAGAACTCACGCTGGGTGCGTGTGTGTGCATGCCCAAGATCCCGAGAGGAGAATGGAGGAGAAGGGACTGCGGTGTGGCCATCCCCCCTGGGGGGTGATTTCTCGCTTTCTGTCTCTCTGTCTCTCTGGTGAGTGCACGCGCCCTATAGTGAAAACCTCTCCAAAAAAAAAAAAAAGAAAGAAAGAAAAATAAGACCCGTTGGGGATGCCTCCTTTCTCTCATGAATGAAACAGCTTAAAAAAAACAAAACAAAACAAAACAAAACAAAAAAACACCAAAATCCAAAACCAACAAAAACATGGATTTTTCTCATTACCACAGACCCAAAGGACTGAACTGGGTCTCTCTCTCTCTTTTCTTTCTTTCTTTCTCTTTTTTAAGTTTTCCTTTATTCGTAATAAGCATGTGCTCCCGAGACATGGAGAGAGAGTAGAGTACCCCCGAGGGGTCTGGTCAGGCTGGTCTCCTTCCCTCGGCCCTCTAGCCCACCGAATGTTGGATACGTACACGCAGGCCGGGTGTGTGTCTCGGGCTGACTGGCCGCGACTTGAACGGTGGCCACCATGTGGGATCCGCTTTCTCAAGCAGCATGTAGCTGCTACGGCAGAGCTGGCCCTGGACAGGGTGACTTCCAGGCTCCCTATTAGTTCTGACTGTACCTCCCGGGCGGCTGGTCTCCTGGGTCTGAGTCCCTGGTCCCTGTCTGAACAGAAGAGCCTCTTACTCTCTTCTGGCACTGCAGCGTCCCAGGACGAAGGTTTCTGAGTTAAGGAAATGATGAAGCCCAAGAAGACAAGCGATTAGGAGAGTACATCAGGGGTGAGACACAGGTTCTTTTTCTTTTGGAGAGGTTTTTGCTATAGGGCATGTGCGCTCGCCAAGAAGACAGAGAGAGACAGACAGAAAGCGAGAAATCACCCCCGAGGGGTGATGGCCATGCCAAAAGCCCTTCTCCTCCATTCTCCTCTCGGGATCTTGGGCACACATGCATACGCACCCAGCATGAGTTTAAGCCACTGGGTCCGGGATTCGAACTGCAGTCGACTACATGGGAGTCCAGCGACATAGCCATTATGCTAATGCTGGTCCCGAGACAGAGGTTCTTAAACCTTTGAGAGTGATGGAACATTGGCAGAGCCAGCTTCACCTCAGAGCATGGTCAGGGTGCCTGACCAGGCCAGCATGAAAAGAAACCACAGCAGTCAGACGCAAAGTCATGGGCACAACTACAAAAACGAAAAAAAAAGAAAAAAGAAAGAAAAAAGGGAAAATAAAGCATACAACTTGAAAGGACCTGACCGGCAGATGTGGCCAGAGCTGAGGTCCTTCCCAAGCCCAAGTCCCTGGGTCGGTGTCTCCCAAGTTAGGAAGCACCAAGCCTTCCCCCTCACCTGTGTAGAAGCTGAAATTATTATGATTTTCTTGCTCGAAGATGCTCTTGGTCTGAGAGTCGAATCGAAGCCATAGTCCAATGGCGAGGACTGCAATCCCGGCGAGCTGTAAGACAGGACAGCGGCATGAATGCTGGTCACCGGGCTCGACACAGCCCGAGCTCTGACGGGGGAATTTCAGACAGGCAAAGGACTCTGGGACTGCCCAGGTTCCTGCCCCTCGCATGCACCTGGTGGTGGGAGCCAGTAGGAGGCGTGTGTGATCAATCCACGAGCTAAAAAAAATAATTACCTACCAGCCAGCCAGCAGCAGAATGGGTATTTTATAGGCAACAGAACACTACCTGGCAGCGAAAACGGGTAACTGTGGCTACAGGCGCTGCGAAGGGCACTGGCAGGGCTAAGAGAAGCAGCAACAGCCCCAGGACACATACAGACGAGTCCCCGTAAGGGTGCCCCCCTCTGTACACAGCTGTCCCTGAATCCCTGACAGATTGGTGTGCGACCCACGGCAGACACCAAAAATCTGTAGCTGGGTCAGGACCAGCAGATGGCAGAACAGTTACGTCACTGGACCTCCCAGAGTTAACCGCAGTTCAAGTCCCGGGCCTGGTAGCTTAGAATTCACGCCAGGCATATGTGTGTGCCCGAGATCCCGAGAAGAGAATGGAGGAGAAGGGATTGCGGTGTGGCCATCCCCCTGGGGGGTGATTTCTCACTTTTTGCCTCTCTGTCTCTATAGTGAGCACATGCACCCCATAGCAAAAATCTCTCCTAAAAAAATCTGTAGCTGCTCAAGTCTCTTCTATAAAATGGTGTCGTACATGTGCATAAGGTCTGCACACCCCCTTGTTTTAAAATCCCTCTAGATTGTTTACAATACTGATACGATATAAGGGCTATGTGGACAGCCGTGACACAGCACCACTGGGGAGTAACGACCAGGGGAAAGTTAGGAATGGACCCAGCCGTGGTAATTCTGACTACACAAAGCACCCGTCCACCACCCATGTAACATTTTCCATCCACGGTTGGCTGAACCCGTATGGAAACTGGATGTGGACGGTTGACTTACACGTGCATACAAATGGTGAAGTGAAAACGAGAGTGACTATCATAAAGCTGTGGCCATCTCGAGGTGGAGGGAGGGCTCTGCCCCCAGGGAGGAAACAGCACATGGCGTGTGTACGTGTGAGGGTGTCCTCCATCTTCCGACGTGGGCGTGGTCACAGACATGGACACGCCATGAAGGCAGCAGTGACGTCCCTGGAGGCACGCCGGAGCCCTCCCTCGCTTGTGCACAAGGGCCCCTCTCTCTTACAAGGCCATGTCCTGGCCTGGCTCGGAACTGGATGCCGTGTGGGGGCCCTTGCCAAGCTCCTTCGGTGCCAGCTGAGCGCCCGCTCGCTCGTACCAGGGCTTGCTGGGGGGTGACTCACAAGCTCCAGGGCAGCGGCTGGCTAGACGTAGGAGTGGGTGGGCTCTGGGCCAGAGGCTGGACCCAGGCGCCCTGATGGAAGAGTCTGCTCTGCAGGGACCTTGCTGGTTCCCTGCCCCAGGCACCAGGACAGCCTGCAGTGTGACAGGCTTCCCTTGGAAGTGTTGGGGGGAGTGTGGTGGGGCAACAACAGGAACAGCCCCCAGCCTGCAGGAGCTGCCTCTCTGCCTCCACCCCAGGGCGCAGCTGGTTTGGCCCTATGGCTGTTTCCACATGAAGGTCTGTAATCCTGGCTCAGGGTTCTCCTGCTGCATTTCCCCATCTGAAAACAGGGAATAAGAGGCGGCCCTTCTTCGCCTTTGAAGTATGGCTAAAGAACAAAGGAGACGGGACTGGCAGGCGGCATGGTGGTTAAGGGCACTGGATTCCCACATGGCCAACTGCAGTTTGAGTCTGAACTGGCAGCTTGCTTTCTCTCTCGCTCTGTCCCTCTCTGGTCAAATTAAAATAAGTAAATAAAATAATTATTTTTTTAAAAAACAAAACATAAAAGGAGACAGTATTAGGAAAAAACTGCTTCTGGGGACCAGCAGATGGCGTGGTGACTGTGTTGCTGGACTGGCATCTAATCGACCATGGTTCGAGTCCCAGACCTGGAGACTTAAAATTCACACCAGGCATATGTGCATGCATACCCAGAATCCTGAGAGAAGAGACCTCGGCATGGTCATCCCCCTGGGGGTGATTTCTCACTTTCTCTTTGGTGAGCTCACTTGCCCCACAGCAAAAATCTCATTAAAAAAAAAAAAGAAAGAAAGAAAGAAAGAAAAAAGAAAACATTTCTGGAGGAGGTTTCAAGCGGGCTCTGGGAGAACAACTCCTACTTTACCAGCACCAGGGGCACCAGCACTGCCCTCCCAGCCCCGTGGACAGATGCTCAGTATCTCCAATGTCTCCGCCCCACCTTAGCTATGGCGCTGCTAGACTCCAGTAAGAGTATGACACCAAGTGCCGTGGCTGGGACAGGTCCAAGAGAAAACCTCACAGACACAGGGCTCACAGGCACGGAAGCGGCCTGTGCCCGAGGGCCTAGTGCAGTGGTTATGGAAACTGGCTCCCACGTGGACGACCGTGGTCTGAATTCTGGCCCTGGTGGCTTGATGTGCACGCTGGTTTATGTGCATGCCCCCCAATTCTGACAAGATGGAGGACCGTGGTGTGAGCACGCCCTACTGGGGGAACTTCGGTCCTTTCTGTCCAACACTCGCACCCTCTGGCAATTAAAACAACAAACCAACCAACCTGAATCTGAGAGCTTTTCTTGGTGGGTGTCAAACGCATGGGTCTGGCTTTTCTCATTAATAAAAGCATGCAAGGATCAGCCCTCTGGGCTGCTGGTTAGGGGAGCTGGATCCCACATGGTTCGAATCCCAGCCCTGGCAGCTGGGAAAACGTGCCTGTGTGCGCATGCCTCAAACCCTGACAGGGTGGAGAAATGGAGGGACTGCAGTGTGACCACACCCCACCGGGAAGGTGCTCTCTTTCTCCCTCTCTGGCTCTCTCTAGTGAGTGCACGCGCCCTCTGGCAATGAGACACAGAGGTGCCTGCTCCAAGGGAGCTGAGTACGGCTCGACGGGGGAGAAGCACGAGCCTCCCCAGGACCCAGCCCAGGCACTTCTGTCCAGACTGGGTCCTCTTCTTTATTTAAAAAAGAATTATTTAAGTTATCTATTATTATTATTATTTTTAGTTTGACTGAGAGAGACAGAGAGAGAGAGAGAAAGTGGGAAAGTAAGCTGCCAAGTCCGGGACTTGAACCGTGGTCAGTTATGTGGAAGTCCAGCGCCTTTAACCATCATGCCATCTGCCAGCCTCTTTTTATCATTTTTTTAAAAAAGATTTTATTTTATTGATTTATTTTTAATTTGTCATAGGGCATGTGTGCTCACCAGAGACAGACAGAGATACAGTGAGAAAGAAAGAGAAAGTGAGGGGCCAGCAGGTGGCGAGGTAGTTAAGGGCGCTGGACTCCCACATGGCCAGCCATGGTTCAAGTCCTGGACCTGGTAGCTTGCTTTCTCACTTTCCTTCTCGCTCTCTCTCAATTAAAAAAAGTTATCTTATTTAATATTTATTTATTTATTTATTTTAGTTTGACCAGAGAGATAGAGAGAGAGAGAGAGAAAGAAAGAGAACGTGGGAGGAGCAAACACCAGGTCTAGGACTTGAACTGTGGTGGGCTGCTGAGAGACCAGCACCTTAGCCACTACGCCACCTGTTGGCGCTGAGAGTCCAGCACCTTAGCCACTACGCCACCTGTTGGCTCCAGGTTGGGTCCTCTTGACACCCTCAAGGGCACTACCATGTATGCAGGGGGTGGGAAGCCCCAATGGAAACACTCCGGCGTGAACCTACATACCCGGGAATCGGGACAAGCACACCCCAGTGCTGGGCTGGCCCTTGTTCCCCAGGGCCCTGGAAAGCTAAACAAGAAAGTGACACTCTCCCTCCCCACCCCAGCACTCAGAGGCCCAGTCAGACCGTGGGGACTGGAAGACTGCTGGCCTTTCTCTGGACATGAAAACTGTCAGCTGGAGGGTCACGACACTGGAAGGTTCCCGGTTGGGGCGGCTCCTAGCCAGGATCCCATTCCTCAGCCTGGCCCTCTGCTTGTCCTCCTGCTGGTGATGCTATCGTAAGGGTGCCTGGGACTCCGGCTGCTGCCCTTTCTGTTCTAGGTGGTGCACATCGAGGAACTGTTCTGACGTCGCCTTACTCCCCCATACCTGCCGGAAAGCTCCTGAACGAGTCACTGCGCAAAGGATAAAACCATCCCACACCAACGGGGTGTCAAGCTACGGTCTGCACAGAAGCTGCTCAGAGCAGGAGCTGGGCTTCTGCAAATGCTTCCGTGGAGGGAGGCCCCTTTCACGACACAGAGAGCCTTAATTTCACGGGCCCTGAGCTAGTACATGGAAGTCCAGCCTCGGATCTGGTCTGTGTGCCCAGGTGGCAAGGAGGACGGGGCTGGAGAACTGGAACCAGAGGGAAAGGGAGCCCAGCCCCACCACACCCAGGTGCAAGGCTAGACGCGGCAGCTGCAGTCCGTTTGTGTGGACGCCACTCCAAACCTATTGCTGGCTACGTGGTTGTCAGGGCCACACGCTTTGCTACAAGGGAAAAGGAGAAGCAGTTGGCTCTGGAGACATGGAAAACGGCATAACAGACCTTAGGGACCAGAAGGTGGCATGGTGGTTAAGGAGGTTGGATCCCACACGGCTGACTGCAGTTTGGGTCCCGGATGTGGTGGCTTGGAAAACACACCAGGTGCACATATGTGCATGCCCAAAATCCCAAGAGGAGACTAGAAAAGGGCCTGCAGCGTGGCCAAACCCCCGAAGAGGAAGGATTTCTCACTCCCTCAGCCCTCTTTCTCTGGCTATCTCTCTCCAGCAAGTGCACATGCCCCTGAAGCAAATGAACATCAATCAATCAACCAGAGCTTTTCTTTCTTTCAGTCTTTGGGATTTTCCTTCTTTCAAGCTTACTACTTTCATGAGAACAGGAGACAGAGACAGACAACTGGGGAACTGAGCCCACGGTCTTCCACGTGGATCTAGTGTCACTTGAGCAGTGCGTTACCTCTCAGCCGGGCTGGCCCTGGAGC